AAAAACTAAACAAAAAAAATTAATTTAAAAAACAAAAAAAAAAAAATTACAACCAAAAGGTACATATGTATAATATATAACATTTTAACTTCAAAGCACCAAAGAGTTTATAATTTTACAAAGAATGAAAAATTGTTTCAGTAATTTAGACATGCAGCAGACTACGTAAAAACATTTTCTCATTAATAATTAAATGAATTTCAAGCAAATCCCTTCCTCGATTTCATTCCAACCTCAAAGAAGGCACTTGCTACACTGCTCTGCTTTTGATACATTCGGAACACTTAGATTTCAACCAACGATATACTATATAAAAAAATATAAAATAAATTGTGCTAAATGTTATACTAAATATAAATAGCTTTCTAAGATATTGCTATGCATAAAACAATCCCTTTACAGTCGTAGCGTGCGTGCTGCGCCACGTTTTGGTGTTGTTGTCGTCGAGGTCGGGGTGATGCGCTTCATGCCGGACAACGAATATGGCACACGAGGCCTTCGTTTGGGAGTAGCCGGTGGTGTGTGGTCGCTTTTAGTTGGTGTACGCAATTGTACAACGCTTATAGCGGTACTTTCTTCATCCACATCCGTCAATGGTACTGCTGTGCCAACTTCAGTGACTGCTATACTTTCAATGTCCGGCGCATCTTGCGATGTTTCCTGCGGCGATTCACTTAACGCGGTTTCGTTAAATTGTGCCATCAGATTACGACGACGCATGCCCATGGTTGATTGCATATCTGGATTCACTTCAGCGTTATTATTTGGCAGATGTTCGTAGATAACCAAAGCAATTTGCAAAGATTGATCGGATAAGTTTCGACGATATGATAAACGTAGACGAACAGGTCTATCCCAATTACTTGTCTGGTGTGGTGTTGGTGGCGCGTCTGTTGTAGTTAAATTTTGTGGTTTAGCACGCAATTTACCAGTCGCCTCAATATACTTCAATGGCGTATATTCATTGGCTAGCTTTTTGCGTAAATCTGCATCTATTTCTTCATCACTGGATGTATCGTCACCCAACATTTGCATGTCAAATTGGGTTGTTGTTAACTGACGCTTTGTGACGTGCGTTGTTTTACTGCTTGACGCCGGCATGCGACGCAAATAACTAAATGGTGTTGGAATTGAACGTTTGAGGCGTTTGGGCGCCGACGCACATGCCTCCTCATCGGCATCACTTTCCGAACCACATGCATTAATATTTTCAATTTTAATTGTACTCGAAGGCGGTGTTAGTTCACCAAGATGCGCTGCGGAATGGCTGTGATGCTCTGGTGTTCGATTACCAGGCAATGGTCGCATCTCCAAGTCATCATCCTCAATGTCACTATCTGCGTAACTTTTCAACGTAGTTATGCCAGTAACTTTATTTATTGGCAACACGAAATCAGCATCCTCCGTTGGCAGTGATTTTCTATAAACATAAAGTTCGATAAAGAATTATAAGTGGTTCAAGGTATAAGAAAAAATTACGTTTTCCAATGAGTTGGACGCTGTTCAATTGGCTGGCACTCCTCGACCTTGTCAAAATCTACATGCTCATATTGAGTGGCTACTTCGAATCTGTGCATAAAAATAGTAAGTCTTTAGGTAAAAGTAAAACAATTTCGACCTCAAAATTAAACCTGAAGTAATCATGTATCTTTGCTGGACCGCGAACTGTGCGTCCGAACCAATCAACTGCTGCATTTGGAGCAACTAGTAATTTCAACTGCCAGCAGTCGGCAGTAAACAACTCCAGATACTCTTTTAAAACAATGGATGCTTCCATTTCACAATACAGCACTGTAATTTAAAGAAATATTGCTGGTATTGTTAATCTTACAACAAATACACTAATGGCCAAATCATCACTTTGCGTACCTGTAACTGCTACTTGAAATATAGTCTTATCAGTTAGCGTTATTTATATATCTACGCAGGAAGTTATTCTTTGTTGTCCTGATTAATAGCAAAATTTAAGAATTAAAGGTTTTATTTTATATATTGCGTTTTCTACCTGTATTTGGCGTCTTGCGCGCTTTTGTAGACTTTGTTTGCACCAGCTGCGAATTTAACAGACAGTTTTCAGACAATGTGTAGAGAATGACATTGTAATAGATTGTTTGATGGTGTTTTAATCGTTGCCACATAAAAGTAGAAAATCTTATTGGAAACATCCTATTGGATACAGCTGATTGGTCGCTGATTGCAGTGAAAAAGCTCATTGATAAAAGTGTATATTGCTACAGGAATTACAAATCAACAATTGCCGTTTTAGAATATTTATATCAGTAACGATGATGAATAGTTGATTAATGCATTAGCAATGTAGTTTTCGTAGCTTTCTTGCTCTTTCAACTAAAAATATAAACATTTAACAATAATTTTTAGATAAAAGAAATTTTCAATTACTAAACAAATATTTTTAAGAAATTGTAGTCACATATCCTATATATTTGTTAAAAGGTGCATAAAAAGGTTTAATAAGA